ACTCACGGAAATAATGTCAAGCTATGACTTAGTTTGTATTTTTACCTCTACAACGATGCGACGAAGTTAAATATATTGTATATATTTGTATATATTAGGCGGCATAACTAGGTATTAATTGAAATTTAAGTATCGTCAAAAATCATACATTAAAAGGTAAAAAATGCATTCATGAGATCGTAGTAATGTGTCAAATATACTAATATCACTGAGACAGAGACTGGATCATAAACCGAAGAATCATGCATGTGTTTAAAGAAACAGAAAACATTAAATGTCAAATATTTCTATCACCACACTTACTAAACTGAAATATAAACTACAGGAAAAAGAAATTTAATAGTTAAAAAGTTATATAAACGAAAATCTCCAAAATGTATAATAACAATTTATTTCAGAATTGTAAAAGACATATTTCATCAAAGATGAATTCATTAAAAATTGTCAAAAGAACACATTTAGTCGCGAGAGTACAAAAAACACGAAATGTACTCCGGGTCAGTTCACAGCGTCAATATCGGGTATGTCCACCGTTAGCAGCGATTTGTTTTTCTGTTTGTCGCAGATGTAAATACTTATAAACAACGGTAACAAATTCGGTAAAGATTTCAAAATTAATCGCTAGCAACGAAAAAAGAAAAATCCTGCAATTGCACAAAACCTACTCACACGTCAAGGAGTGCACACGTTATTTGTATAAGTTTCATGTTTAACAAATATTTAACTCTCACAGTTTCTTGTTTCTTATTGTATATTTATCGACAGGCTATGGCCTTGTATTGCTTACCTGCTAATAAAAGATGCTGCAAACACATATTTTGTCTTTGTTGTTTTCAAAGAAAGTGAAAGGCAAATGTATTCAAACTTGAAAGCTAGCACACAAAGCACAACTATGCAATACAGGCCGAATATCACTGAACTACATCGTATAAAGCATTGTAGAAAAATCTAGGGTACACGCAAAATAACACTCAAGTGCACCTTATTAATATTTTCTAAAGTTTATATGATATCCAACTTCTGTAAATAAGAAAGTAGGTCAATTTATGATGCAAACTTTTTATCATTACTCTTGATCTAATGAACCTTCATAAAAGATCATTTTTTTACATAGCTGGCCCCTATATCATTGAAAGTCAGTGAAGATAATATATATGAATGAATTAGCACTTCGTCCCAGCAAGCATCAATCAAGTTATTAACAAACTAGACCTTTTATACATTTTTGTTTTCATAAACAACCTCCAAAGCCTAGAGAGTGGTAAAGGTCTTCGATATGAAAACTTGAGTCTTCATCCCAACAAGCTATATGTATGCATCGCAAAAATATCTTCCTTGTCATATAATGTCAAAGAAAGATACTGTATATCAGAGTTGTGTTTGTGTCAAGTATCAAGTGCTAAGGTGTGTTGCCGAAAAGATAGTAAAGCTTCGGTAGAAAAGAGAAAGAAAAGATAGAGGTTCTTAATGTTGCAAATGGACATGGAAACTTTCAGACAATATTTTTCTACTATTCTACAAAACGCATAAAAAGTAAAATAAATTGAGTTGGCGGGTATTGTTACTTCCAAAACATACACCTAATAATTTAAAGTTTATTTTGTATAGATCCCTATATGGTCAAACAGAGGCCACATCAATAAAACTGTAGACGTAAAAATTAAACACTTGAGCATCACTACACATAAATGCGACGACTGATGGATGTTGGCGGACTGTCGTGCAACCGGATCAGTATCAAAACTCGTAGCTCTGTCAGCGCAAAGTCGTCTAAACAAATGGTAAAACCAACAATGCCTAAATAAACAATCTAACTAAAGCACCCTAAAAACGATTTCAAATAAAATAATATCAATAATGATATTGTTTATGAAGCTATGCCATTAACAGCTTCATGAACAAAACAGAATATCATGTCGAAACCACCGTCTGTACGACTTTAGGATGTTTGCGTAAGGGGGTGCATTGGCATTAATAAGTGACCTTGATCTGGAGTTAAGCACCCTTAAACGCATACACATTCATTGTATTGTCAAGCCTAGGACTTGTTTGTTTGCCGATGGTTACTCATATTCACAAGCTTAGCATGCGTTTGGTTTTATTTGCTTTTCACATGACACCTTCTGCAAACCCCTGTGTTGAAAATAATGAACCACCTCTTGTTGTCAATAGAGACAATTTGACATTACAGTTTGCTTTTCAAATTATATCAAATACTATATCGGCATCCTATCTACGAAAGGAATTTAAAACAAGAAATGTTGAAACTTCTGCTCATATATAATTCTCTCAAAGACATAAATGACACCTCCGATATTTCCCCATGAACACTAGTGTTGGTAAATCATATTTCAAAATTTGTTATCATGTGTATCTCAAAATTAATATGATTATTAGGCCTACTCCCCGAGACAAGATTTGGTTTCAAATCAGCTCAAATTTTATAAATGGAGAGCTCTTATCAAGGCACAGAACTCTAGTTGAAAACTGACAAGATAAACGAAGAGAGGTAAATCCAAGATTTGATAACATAATTTAATCAAAAGTTCATTAAATTCATTCAAACATGTCAAATCGCTTGAACAAGTCAACCGTAAGCGGTATGTTATCACAACCTGCTTCCGCTTGCCTACCGTAATATTTATTAAAACGATAGCGCGAGTTCTATTGGTGTCACGTGATAGCCTATTTTCTATAGCTGTAACGTACCTGTATATTAAAGGTCAGAGCATGATTTACAATGAGAACATATTACCAGGCTACGGGACATTAGCAGCGTGAGTATTTGTTATAAATCATACTGATAAAAGAGGAAGTTTTCCTCTCGATGTTCAGTGCTATTGATATAGAGTATTGGTCAGTCACAGGTACTAGCCTTGTCTGTCAATACACCTATAATATATCCTGATTATATTATAGGTGTATTGACAGACGAGGCTAACCTGTGTATACACTGTTTAGGACTGATGCCAGATATAGCTACAAATGTAATACCGAAACGGGCATGGAAGCTGGGCGTAGTCAAATCACGTTATTTTTTCGATATTTCTTGATTTTCTGGCAGTGTAGAAGTACGACAGTCAACCATAGACGTAATTCATATCTGAAACAGGAGGCATGTAATTGTTTTGGTGTAGTTGCAAATTTAGTCCGAATTATTCTGACGTTTTATCGACTTTTTTCATATCGGTCTGTCGTCGATTAACGAAACGTCAGAATAATTCGGACTATTGCAAATTATTTACAAAAACAGTCTGTCTAGTACCGCTAAATCTTCATTCGCAACAGCAAATATTGCCTTAACTTGATATTTGCCAGTAGATAATATACATTTATATGCTAAGATGATTTCTTATAGTTATATAGTCATGATAATACATGGAGTCACTCTATAATATGCTTCTTTCTTTAGATATTGGTATAAATAATTTTAGTGAAGTGTACGGCGAATAGCAATACATTGTACGGCGAATAGGAATGTTTAAAATAACTGGTGTACGGCGGATAGGTCATATGGTGTACAGTATTAAAGTGAACACTTTGCCTAAATGTGATATATTTTGTTAAAGCTACGTTCCCCGATTACCGTAAATCTCCTACAGTGTACAATGCATACACCTTATCGTACGTAAGTTGTAGAACACCAAAGATTACAAGAAACAGCAATGCACTCAATACAGTGGTACAGGTAAGTCCGATAACTACTAGTCTACATGTGCTGTAGATTAAAAGGATAGGCCAAAATGATAGTTGTGTGTCTGTTTTTCAGCCCTCAAAATATTCTTTAAAAGTACTTATTATAAAGCAAAGTTTCAGACCATAATTTAAAAGTACCTATTAAAAGTTAATGAAAATAAAGTTAGAATAGACTTTGAAATCTTGAGTAGGAATGAAACAGACTCTTCCCATTGCCTGTTAAAGTTATACATATTTAACACTTTCAGACGTCTGTATTGTCTTTACCACTTGCTGTTTACAGAAAACTGTGAATAAATTGATGATATATCAACTTAACTATCGTGTATTTCTTTGCAAATCTAGGTATTAATGCAGCTTTTCTCTACATCACCCTAAGCATTTCTTGTGTAACCCCTCCCCCTTGTATATTAACGTTGTGACAGGGAAAGAGTATGTCACCTTCTGCCTAAGTTCCAATTCTCCACCGCTATTGTCAAGGTCATAGCTAAAGTTCCAACACTCAATTGCTATTGCCAAGGTCACAGCTAAAGTTCAAACTCTCCACCGCTATTGGCAAGGTCACAGCTTAAGTTGTGTTATAGCATGTGACAAATGGGTACTCCTTATCATTATTTAATTCGACATTCATTAGACTTTCGACATTCTTAACCCCTTCCCTTACGATATCATTCAAAACTGTTACAAAGGAACACCATTGGTATGTTACTCCAATGGTGTAACAACATAAAAACATAGCTAGTACAAATGCTCGCTCTAAACATGGTTATGTTAGTATAGCTATTCGCCGTACTGTTAACATGCTAGTTACCGTACACTTGAAAATGTATCAACAACTATTCGCCGTACACAGACGAAAAACCATTTAGGTCAATTACATGTACATCGTAATGACTATATTTAGACATATGACCATTATATGTTTATTCCAGTCTCATCTACATATGCCAGTTACGTCCGTTTCATCATCGTATATGTCATACTTTAATAGTTATCTCTTCTTCTTTCTTTGTAAACAATTTTGTACCGGCACTTTGTAGTCAGTTTTTACCAATATCTTCAGGTCGAATGAAATAGTTTACAAATCATCTGCATCACATACATCAGTGTTCATTGTATAAATGTTGTACTCCTTTATTTGTCTCTACGCTACCAGAAAATACCAGAAATATCGGAAAACATCCCGTGGCTTGTCTGCGCCTAGCGTCCTTGCCCGCTTCGGTACTAGCTATATCCGATGTCAGTCCTACACAGGTATAAAACCAATACAATAGCGTGTGTCCATGTCCTCGATTCGTTCGAGAACTGCAAACGGCAATACAGGTAAGATACTGAGGTCATAGCTAGCTCTCTACGTAAACAAGGTACAAGTCATTATTTAAGATCAGCTACAGTACTGCGCTATATATAGATAAAATACACATATGTTGGTGTCACAAAGCTTTAAATCTGGCCAACAGGTGGCGCCTTTAGCTATGTATTGATGATTGAACCGCTACAAGAAACTGACGTACATGTATTTTCATGCTTTGACACTACTTACCGATGAGTAACTAATGGTGTAGCAGGAGCAAGTCCTGGCTTTGTTTACCCAGGTTCATTGAGCCTGGGGTTCCAGGGTTTCCATTACAAACAACTCACATAGTGTATAACATTTAATAGATTTATTACATAGAGCATATAACATACATACACAGACGACACAAGCTATTCAACCCCTACCCGGCTACTACTGGGACATGTACGGGAAAGGTGTAAACAAACACACTACATGACGGTATAAACACAGCGGGCAGCTAGCAAGGCTTTCCCCGGACAGTACAGAAACACACAAACACCCACCTAGCACCACGGACCGGTCAGAAGATAATGACAGCACAACACATGACAAGAGACAGAGAAAGACGGAGATACCCAGCCGAAGCTATTGGTACAGCTCCACAAGTTCCCATGTGTGGGTATGTTATGTAGACCACGGTAGCCAATCAGAACGGTTTTACCACAGAGTAGGGGTCATCCAATGAAAACACCGGTTACTAAAATAAGGAAGGAAGTTAGAAAGAGTAAAAGCCCGGATAACAACACAGAGTCCCAATAGCAGCGGTAACACATACGTCGAACACCCACGGTAGATATATATGCGATAACTTTCTTATACCCCTTTCATTCAGGCTTTCATCCAGACACTTTCACCAACACAATCCTTATATATATAATCACTCATACCCATTCGCAACCACCTGGCCAGGTTTCATAATACTCTCGACTTTCACAATGGTACGTAATTTATCTTGTCTACCGTGATGCCTTACCTGCAATAATATGAATAGACGTATATTCTCGTACACCAGCTATCTTTTTAAAGTCGTAGTATTGCTAAATGCAGGCAGTTGTGTGCAAATAGTGCATATTGCTTGTTTTGTTGATGTTGTTCAAAAATCAAATTGTTCATGTAACCCGTACATCCGGCCATAACGTTTAGATATGCGCCCCTGCAGAATCGCCTGACCTTTTCCCCATCGAGGCATATGAGACGAGATGTAACGAAGGCTTTATGTCAACTGTCAAATAAGCCTGTAATGTTGGCTGAACTTTCCTATGCGTTAGTTCGCATCAGGAACGGCATTCCACCTATAAATATGATATGATATATATTACAACGTGTGCTGTCAACTGTTCCGTCTGGTCAACAGTGTATGTGACGTCATCAGTTCGGAACCCTTGCACGAATAAAGCACCCTATATTCCCGCCACTATATTTCGGCTATTGGGTAAATACTTACTGCCCAGTGGTCATTCTTACAATCCAACTCATAAGAGAAGGATCTGTGCTCTAGATCGGCTGGTTGTATAGAGGCGTATAGAGACATTGCCGCCAGCATTCATTAAGGACATTCCAATATGGCTGCCACACCAACCTGTATATCGAATTCAATAATGCATTCCGTTAGCATTAAACAATCCCTGTCACAAAATAATCCTCCTCCAATATTTCTCAAACATAATTGAGGTACATGCCTACTAAATTTCAGAAAAAACATTCAATAACTGATGAAAAAACTCACTTTGTATATGTCCATTTTCCAAGCTAAATAAAAGTCACAACTCAGGTAAAAAACACACATTTAAACTTGTAAATATCATAAGGTTGGATGTCCATGGAGATGCATTTGTCGAGAAAATTGTAAGAAAATGTGTCAAATCTCCAGAATAATGGCATGTATTTCCCCTGAATAGATCACAACTAAGCACAAAGCGAACAAGGCTGACTGAGGTTTGAGAAAAGCATGCAAAGCAAGTGAGATTTTACCTGTACACCATTCACTATACAGGTTCTCACTCAGGTTATTTTGCTTGACTTGTATCAAAAGTCTCGTTAGCGTGATGAATTATTATAAAACATCCAATCAAAATACATGTCATCATTCTAACGGAATGCATTATTGAATTTGATACACAATTTGGTGTTGCAGCCATATTGGAATGATCATACCCGGTTTCTCGGAGAAAGTAAATGAAAGATGATTGAATACACAATTTTTCCGTGGTTTTGGTATTTATACTGAGGAACCGGTGCCATTCAGATGAACCAATGCAACAAAATACGGCTCAAAATGTTCAGAGAAGCAGTCTGTGGTAAAATGAGTTCCGATGTAATCATCATACACATGTCAAATAGAGTAAGGTATTGTTGACATTGTAATAAAGTCAGTATATTTTGATAACTAAGCTGACTGTACTCTTTAATGTACAGGCAACAAATGTGGTCAGACTTGTATACAGGAATGTGTTCGTATTCATCCTTCTGTAGCATGTTAATATTGATAAACGAAGTGTTTATTGATTGGGGCGTAGTTCACTCTTTGCTGTTTATTGAATGGGTCGTAGTTCACTCTTTGCTGTTTATTGATTGGGTCGTAGTTCACTCTTTGCTGTTTATTGAATGGGTCGTAGTGTACTCTTTGCTGTTTATTGATTGGGGCGTAGTTCACTCTATGCTGATTATTGATTGGGGCGTAGTTCACTCTTTGCTGTTTATTGAATGGGTCGTAGTGTACTCTTTGATGTTTATTGATTGGGGCGTAGTGTACTCTTTGCTGTTTATTGATTGGGGCGTAGTTCACTCTTTGCTGTTTATTGATAGGGGCGTAGTTCACTCTTTGCTGTTTATTGATAGGGGCGTAGTTCACTCTTTGCTGTTTATTGATAGGGGCGTAGTTCACTCTTTGCTGTTTATTGATTGGGGCGTAGTTCCCTCTATGCTGATTATTGATTGGGGCGTAGTTCACGCTTTGCTGTTTATTGATTGGGGCGTAGTTCACTCTTTGCTGTTTATTGATTGGGGCGTAGTGTACTCTTTGCTGTGTCGTGTAACCATTTAGTTATGGTTTAGGCACGTATGAATGAAGGTGTTTCAAAAAATACATACAGAGTCAGACATTATTTGTAGAGCCATGGTTTTAGGAAGTAAAGACACAGGATGGAATAATACACATACAGGAACTCACTCACCTTCTCATTTATGTAAGGGTCAGGAACTCACTAACCTTCACATTTATGTAAGGGTCAGGAACTCACTCACCTTCTCATTTATGTAAGGGTCAGGAACTCACTAACCTTCACATTTATGTAAGGGTCAGGAACTCACTCACCTTCACATTTATGTAAGGGTCGGACCAGGTAAATGTAAATGTAAAGACAATGTTTTGAATAATGTAATCAAGTGTCGTACAGAGATGTTTCATAACCATTCATGCTCCAACACTCTTAAATCGATCAATATTGTGTATGACTTTTATATTTTGAGTTGTTGTAATAATCAAGTTGATAGCCGACACATTAATGCTGAGAGATGTCCGTGTATGTGACACTGTATACGTAGTTTAGGGTGGTCGGGTGGTGCAGTGGATAACGCACTTGCCTTTCACCAAGGCCGCAGGGTTCAATTCCCCGATCGGACGTGAAAAGGTTGGGGTCACCTGTCCGACTACATGGGTTTTCTCCGGGTACTCCGGATTCCATCCACGCTAAGACCCCCCAAGCGCTAACATCCGGGCCAACAAGAGTGATTAATATAAGTTGAGATAACTTGTTTCATAATTGTTGTAAAATAAATAAAGTTTAAATTTACTGTAATTATTACAGACTGATATCACATTGTACTGGAACTCACACAAGAGTTAACTGTCACATACTGGCAAAAATAGTTGCATGTGACAAGCTGTATACAGGTTTACAAGTTGACACCAAGGCAACCTGTTACTTGCTGTCCCTAGGCAACCTGTTACCAGGTTTACCAGAACCAGCGGTCACTAAGGCAACCTGTTACCAGCTGTCATAGATATAACCTGTTACCATATTTACCAGAACCAGCTGTCACCAAGGTAACCTGTTACCAGCTGTCATAGATATAACCTGTTACCATGTTTACCGGAACCAGCGGTCACCAAGGCAACCTGTTACCAGCTGTCATAGATATAACCTGTTACCATATTTACCAGAACCAGCTGTCGCCAAGGTACCCTGTTACCAGCTGTCATAGATATAACCTTTTACCATATTTACCAGAACCAGCTGTCACCAAGGTAACCTGTTACCAGCTCTCATAGATATAACCTGTTACCATATTTACCACAACCAGCTGTCACCAAGGCAACCTGTTACCAGCTGTCATAGATATAACATGTTACCATATTTACCAGAACCAGCTGTCACCAAGGTAACCTGTTACCAGCTCTCATAGATATAACCTGTTACCATATTTACCAGAACCAGCGGTCACTAAGGCAACCTGTTACCAGTTGTCATAGATATAACCTGTTACCATATTTACCAGAACCAGCGGTCACCAAGGCAACCTGTTACCAGCTGTCAAAAATATAACCTGTTACCAGGTTTACCTGTCACATGGTGTCATCAGGGATAACTATTACAAGCTGTCAGTAGGTAGGGTTTCCTGTCACAAGCTGTTCCCAACGTTACGTGTTACCCAGCTGTCACTAATGTAGCTATTACCAGATGTCACAAAGCCTACAGTTAACTGTTACCAGACGTAAGGAAGATTACCTGTCACAAGTTGTCAACGTGGCTACGTATCACCAGATATTACCAGGTTTATCTATTACATGTCACCAGGGTTACTTACTATAACCATTATCCATGCGCACTTGCTGATATGCAACAAACAGACATATGTAAAACTTCAGTATCATTTGAACATTTCTTGGCTACATTTATTGATCTGAAACAGTTTCGTAAAAATATTGTGCAATGAACACTAAACATGAAAAAATGCTGCGGAGGTATATTGTCATTGTTGTTTCCATTGGTGTCGTAATGGAATAAAATAAATACTATACAGTTCAATAACATAGTCAATTTATTTCTAAAAAATGTCTTCATGTGGGTAAGTATGCATTATGACAATTTCTTTTTACATAACCAATAAGAGTTTCTATGTGACGTATCGATGACTAGTACGGTATGTACACAGTCACCTTCATCAGACAAATGACCAGTGAAGCGTATGCACACAAAGGTGTAAAATGTGTACGAGTTGTCCACACAATCGGTGTCGATTCGGCTAAGCTGTAAGCGTATGTACACTAGTTGTTATTTATGTACCGGTTTAGCTATGCTTTTTCGTAGTAAATAGTACATAGTAAATTACTAACGAACCACAGCAACTGTGCAATTACTATACATCATATTTTAAACAGATTTACATGTATGTCATACTCTTTGGCTACAACTGTTTTGCCTCAATCCCGCGTTGTAGAATAAACATTTTGTTCAGTCAAAAATCACAAATCTGTTGGAATGAGGGGTATATTTTTGCATATTTTAGTATATTTACATGTGTTCTGTTTTAGGACATGATCGGGTTCAAAGGACAAGTACAAGAGGGTCTGTATCACACAAAGGATGTGTTTGCAATACTATGGAACAGGGTCAATGGTACTGCCTGTTTGGTCGGCGTTAGTGCAAGTCTTGCAGTCTATTGGTTAATAAAGAAGACCAGGTACCGCCTTCCACCGGGACCAGTAGCTCTTCCATTGGTCGGCAACTATAGTCGTACGTATAAACAAACTACTTTCTATAATAAGCTGCAATACACCAATTTCTACCACAATACGCTGTTATTCCACTCTCAGATCATTGTATAAACATGCAGAATGATAGATACATATGAGTTATACACCGCACGTGGTATATTACCTTCCAGAGTTTTCATTGGTCGAGAAGATGAACTTAGAGTTTGACCGAGACGACTTTTTCCACGCGCCTTTTGCCACGTGCTGTTTTGTTTACGTCGTCTGCTGTCAACATCCGGCAAATGTTGGTGACTTAGTGGGGTTAAGCGATGGGTAAAAGTGGGTTATTAAGGCAATATTAAAAGAAGTTGATACTTAAAGATTTGATCGCTAGTTTCAGGCAAAATTGCTACAGACGCTCGATATCGTTTCGACGTCACACAGTCGCGTGTCCAGTTCGTGAAACCAAAACAAGATCTGTCACAGTGTCGGAAAATATTTCGTTCTCCCAACGTCCCGTTATCGCTATTTGGAGGGTCTGACTATGGCTGAACTTTCACTATAAACGTCAACCATAGAACCGTCACGAAGAAACGTCCAAGGCCTACGGTTTTGGGCATTGACAGCGATTAGTTAGTCTTCATCACTTGGCGGGAGGCAGACTTCGTACGATATGCGTTCGCGCATATAGTCTGCGGTTAATTGATTTAAATTAATGCAATACTGCATACTCTCAATGCTTAAAGAAGTACACCAATGCATATAAAAAATATGACAACCAATACTTATATTTACATTTTATGTTAATCAACTTACAGTTCACGCAGAAATAAAGACATAATATTAGTCTGAACATGTTTCAACGTCAGGGTAAATCTATACAGAGAACAGCCACCAGTTGACAGTGGAACAATGCAATCACCAACGTTGCAGTTATGACGTCATAAGCATAGCGACGTCACAATAACCCAATGTATATTATACGGAAATAACATACATTTGTCCGATAGAAACATCTAGGCTCTGTGCAGTGAAAATGTAAATATTTTTTAATATTAATGAGTGACTTTTTACATATGGGTCATATCGCTACTCCAGCCTTGTTCAAATCAGGTCACACTCCAGCTGTTTCCGACTGAGATTGTGGTAGAAACAGATCACACGACTCGTGGTTGTTGAGTATGGTATTTATTTCACTCTCGATATTTCTAACTCGAGTGAAATATATACCATATTCACCAACTACTCGGTGTGTAACCTCTATTTCTCCCACACATGACAGATTTATCTCCCGTTTTGCCGGTGCTAGATTTATCTGTCTCCGCCCTAGGGTTGAGACAGGGGGATTCCCCTATTCATAACAATGGCATGACGTCACTTCAACAATACAATGACGTCACGTCAACAATCCATCAACAAATTGCCTGTATGTGTTTTGGGTCCATGTTTACCTTTATTTCACATTAAAATACTGTTAGATATGGGAGAAAAATAATCAATCGCTACTGGTTGTGTAAGATAGAGAAATCTCAACCCGAGGACTAAGATTTTTTGTCCAGAACTCGGCAAGCCTCGTTCTGGACAAAAAATCTTAGTCCTCGGGTTGAGATTTCTCTATCTTACACAAGCCTCGTTCTGGACAAAAAATCTTAGTCCGAGGGTTGAGATTTCTCTATCTTACACAACCAGTAGCGATAGATTCTATTAATCTACCCAGACTGCTTCTGGTAACAAACGGTGATCAACTCTCGTTGTACGTCCACTCAATCTGCTTCTATCACGAATAAGGGTTTTTTAGTCGAATATTTAATTATCTTAGGCATTCTGATTTACTGCGTTTTTTAAACATACTGATATTCTGAATATATTTGCGACAGAAAAATTGAAAAGCGTCTATGTTGGTTGATTAACAGTTTTGGGAGACTCAAGGCTACACGAGACATGTGCCCGGCTGTCAGCTATTTACGGACCCGTCATCACTATACAGATAGGTAAGATACCGACCACCAGAACTCTCAGGGATCATCAAAAGGCAAAGTTGAGATTTTAGAAATCATGACGATATAGAGTTTATTTATGCCATATGCAAATACTTCTATTGAAGAAGTGATTACTTTAATTGATCTCTTCAAAAGTTTGGAACTTAGCGTCAGTTTTGGTTGTGCCAACGGATAACACCCACAGAAGACTTCGCTTTCAGTTTTTTCTATTGCTTTAAATAAGTCATTTGTTTATTCTCATGGGTTTTTGTCTTTTTTAAGCAAATCATAATAAGGTACTTTAAAAGACAATAGTATGAAAAACATAAACCGAAGCAGAAGTGAGTATAACATAGACTGAACCATGTTCACTGTACTGAAATTGATATCTAGAAAGGAATATAACTGCTGTTAACCACTGTATGCTTTAAGAGGCAGTTCATGTGAAAAACTCCCTCGTAGAATTTTGAATTGCGTTTGTGTCCTGTACTTGAGGCCACAAAAGTTACACAGCAGATAATATAGCCCCATTTGTAATCTTCACCTTTTTGTCTTCCAACGCCTCACTTTGAAATACCTCAGTTTCCGCCAAAACGGGTAGTTGTTATTCCTTGCTTGGCGTTTACAGTTATCACGCCAAATGTTAATATCATGTGACCAGAAAGAATACTGTGCTTGGTGCATTCGGCTTTATATTTCAGTAAGGTAGCAGTCGGCGTCAGATCAGCGTTATCACAAGGCAGCAAATGCACAAACCGACTCCAGTTTACATAACTCTTACTTGTATACGTTTCACACACAGAGGCACACGTTTCACACACAGAGGCACGTCCGTAAATGACCTTACCGGTTACACGGACACTAAAGATAATAAAACAAAAACAAACATGTAAAACTTTGTTTGATTATCATAAAACGAAGTATGCTGTATAAAATAAAGTGGGAATAATGTATTGTATAAGCATCGAAAATAATAAAGTAATAGTATTTTCACATAGTTAAACCCATTAAACACTTCTCTATGAAGATTTGATATATTTTATGTACATTAACGCCTATAACATTCTGTTGTACTTATGTTGGAATAGGTCCACTGAAGATGGTGGTTTTGAATACAATAGAAGCCACAATAGAGGCAATGGTAACCAAGGGAACCGACTTTGCAAACAGACCCGTGACTGCATCAGGTAAGTGTTACCCTAAAACAAACAGACCCGTGCCATCATCTGGTGAACATTAACTTATAACAAACAGACTCGTGACATCATCTGGTGAGTATTACCCTATAACAAACAGAACCGTGACATCATCTGGTAAGTGTTATCTTATAACAAACAAGACTCGTGACATCATCTGGTGAGTGTTATCCTATAACAAACAGCCCCGTGACTGTATCTGGTAAGTGTTACCCTATAACAAACAGACCCGTGACATCATCTGGTAAGTGTTAACTTATATCAGACAGACCCGTGACTACATCTGGTAAGTGTAAACTTATATCAAACAGACCCGTGACATCATCTGGTAAGTGTTAACTTATAACAAACAGACCCGTGACATCATCTGGTAAGTGTAAACCTATAACAAACAGACCCGTGACATACTCTGGTAAGTGTTAACTTATAACAAACAGACGCGTGTCTGCATCTGGTCAGTGAAGACCTATAACAAACAGACCCGTGACATCATCTGGTAAGTGTTAACTTATATCAGACAGACCCGTGACTACATCTGGTAAGTGTAAACTTATAACAAACAGACCCGTGACCTCATCTGGTAAGTGTAAACCTATAACAAACAGCCCCGTGACATCATCTGGTAAGTGTAAACTTATAACAAACAGACCCGTGACAGCATCTGGTAAGTGTAAACTTATATCAAACAGACCTGTGACATCATCTGGTAAGTGTTAACTTATAACAAACAGACCCGTGACATAATCTGGTAAGTGTAAACTTATAACAAACAGACGCGTGTCTGCATCTGGTCAGTGTAAACCTATAACAAACAGACCCGTGACATCATCTGGTAAGTGTAAACCTATAACAAACAGACCCGTGACATCATCTGGTCAGTGTAAACCTATAACAAACAGACCCGTGACATCATCACGTCAGTGTGAACTTATAACAAACAGACCCGTGACATCATCTGGTAAGTGTAAACCTATAACAAACATACCCGTGACATCATCTGGTAAGTGTAAACTTATAACAAACAGACCCGTGACTGCATCTGGTAAGTGTTAACCTATAACAAACAGACCTGTGACTGCATCTGGTCAGTGTAAACCTATAACAAACAGACCCGTGACATTATCTGGTAAGTGTAAACCTATAACAAACAGACCCGTGACATTATCTGGTAAGTGTAAACCTATAACAAACAGACCCGTGACATCATCTGGAAAGTGTTACCCTATAACAAACAGACGCGTGACTGCATCTGGTAAGTGTTAACTTAAAACATCACTGCATCAGGTATTGATCTTAATAAAATAGTGTAAAACACTAAGCATTAAATGCTTTGGTCATATATTTAGAAACCATAATGTTTATCTCGTTAAAACTAATCGTATTAAAAGACTATGTTCACAAGACCTGTTGCCCCACACTAAACTGGCCAATCAGAAAGTAGCTATCGAAATCCTGTCATTTGTCCCTACACATTCTTGCTCGTGCTAGATCAGTTTGTTTACAAGACGGAAATTTCAGGATAGTTCGTCAACATTCTGTTATCAAAAATTTTAAACTCCAAAATTGGATGCAGATTAGCAAAATGAGCTTACCGAATTTGGTGATTAAAGAAATGTTGGTGTTATGTAATATCCATACGACACTGTAATATTCGTGAATGAGAAATGTTTTGTATATGGTTTGTGATTCCAAAACACACACATTTGATTAATCAAGGTTAGTACAAGGAATCCCTACTATTTATCTATTCAGTAAAACGGTGAATTTACATCCGATTTTGTCGATAACACTTCCGTCCCTGTTGTTTTGGTTAGAAATTGGGTGTAGCTTAAGTGCAATGGGCGGGATTTAACGTATATGATGCATAAATATTTTTTTATTTTAATGGAATATTCCGGTTGATCACAAAAACAAGCATTTTATAGTAAAATAGAATCGTTTTGACTTTATATATTCGGAACAGGATGAAACCATATATATTAGTTGTTAATGTATATTTTCAGACAAACATATTCCTTTTTTTCGCATAAAACAGGGATGTTGCTAAGTGATGGCGGCAAAAACATCCTCCTGTCACAATACACACCCACCTGGAAACTTCACCGCAAAATTGCCAGCAAGGCTCTCAGGTCAGTGTAGGGGACGTAACTATAACAAGCCTCATCTAAATACGTCACGGTGACGTCATCATAAAACGTCATTTGGACGTCATCATAACACAACACTATCTAAGTAATATTATATTTAGACTAGAAGACATTTTTTTACAGATTTATATATCCAATGCATGTTTGTTAATAGCTCGGCCTGTTGACACTATTTCACCTACCGTATCCTTTACCTGTTCATATTGCATCAATAATATATCTTCCAATACAAACAAACGTAACTCCTTTTCAAAACAAGTATGGATGCTGAAGAGTATTATGCTAGAGTTATGGCGGAACGAAAAGAAATAAAGCAGATTCTCTGCGTGAAAAGGTTTATATTTTATATCTTCTGCAAATTCAATTACTTGTGTTGGACTACATTATGAACACCAAACTCAAGTAAACGTTTCTAGACTGAATGCAGCCTCTATAGCTAAGTTGTAATCTCGCCATTTTGTAATGAAACTTATTATGCAAGCTTCTGCTGAAAATCTACGAACCTGATGACGATATATATACACGTGAATTATGACGGCTCGCTCATTGTGACAACAAACAATTCCAATAACGTTGTATCCTACGAACTAACCGGGAGATGTCTGGTCACGAATGAAGGGAATGTTTCTTTTCTAGTGTTTCGAGAGGCGGGTTGTGGTAGTATCCCTTTTGCATTTAAATGAAAAAGCAGTTTGCACCGCCAAAGCAGCTCTATTGCTACCTACGGTCAACACGATAAATTGTCTGTAAACAACATAGCATGTCTTCAATCTCCAGTTTCAAAAGTTAGTGCTGTGATAATTTCCGTACTCATTCATTGACTTTGGTCTATAGTTTGTATCCATTTTACCTTTACACATCATGTGTAAAAGACGCAATATATACAATTTTTTTTGCAGGGTTTTCAATTAAATACATAATAGTACAATATCAGCTGCTTAAACCGAAGTTTTAAATTAAGTGTACTGTGATCATGTTTTCAATCTCGCAGTCCATCCGTTCACAGGATATGTTTACATACATCTACCTTTCCATACAGAAACTCTTTACGAGGTGAGAAACAGGAGACCGCTTTAGATGCCTCCATGGCTGAGTTTATTACACTACTGACGGCCACTGAGGGACAACCCTTCACCCCTCATGCCTACATAGACCACGCTTTGTTCAACTTAATGAGTGGACTCTGCTTCAAGAAGGTGTAAGTTCAAGAAGACATAAATAATGAATTACCATTGTACTATATTGAAAATACATTCATAAAATTGTTAAAATGAATTATCCATGAAATACATCCCTCCGGTCTAGAGAAAGCATTATCAATTGTATCATATTGGGTTCTTTGTCCTTTTTTGTCTACTTTTTCTACTTTTCGGCAAATTTTCGACAAGAATTGGTGTTTATATGATGTTTGTAACTACAACGACGGTCAAACCTGTAAAAGACCAGCACTATTTTGTTCTTTTCTGATCGTATGAGAATTTATGTAGGACCCTTTTCAGAGACTTTTAGCCTCCATCGTTTCTCTTATTTATCTCCATTGCTTTCTCTGCGGCTTTATCTCCAAAGGGATACATGTTAAGTCCGCCATCAGAATAATGTGACGGTTGAAGTATCATGCGACTGTGTAAAGTCTAAGTTTCAGTTAGGTGGCTCTTGTATGTGGCATTACAATTGTCCCGTCATCTAGTGACATCGTCTTCATATCAATTTGATTGTGATGACGCAAGACATTAAACAAATAAAGTATTTTTACACAACGTCAGTTTCTTCCTTTTAAAGATATTGGTGCTCAGAGAGAGACTGTCTGGGTTTTTTTCAGATACCAATTCAACGACAAAACGTTTAAACGTTTTATAGACGTTGACAATGAATTCATCAGAGAATTTGGACTCGGTCTTATTGAAGATGTCTTTCCCATTTTGGCAATCTGGCCCAGTCAACGCTTTCAAAAGGTCATTGGGCTCCTGACAGAAATCCTACAGTTTACATATGACAGGTTTCAAGAACATGTGGATGATTTTGATGCAGGTAAATGTATTCTGTTCAACATTTTCATTTTCAATACTATTTGTAAAAATAAAGGACTTTAATTAGGGCATATATCCTACTTGTATCAACATGCCTCATTATTTCAATATTGCATACCTAATTTAGCATTGGACACTTCATCAAGTGTCAGTTATTTAGTCCATACACTGACACGTCTTGTTCATGAATTACTCCCTTCAGTCCGGACATCTGATTTTCCCATCCTTATAATGTCATTGGTATAAACATTTCTGTTTAAGACGACATCAAGGATATCTCGGACTTTGTGATCATGGCACGTAAAGAAGCCGAGGAAGAGGAGAACGCTGAACTGTTGGACCAGTTAACAGATGAGCATTTACGACAGATAGTGACTGATGTTTTCTTTGGTAACTCTCACGATGTATATCTTTGGTATAAACATATGTAATATAACAATCGTTAATGTTTTTCTTTATTTATTTATTTCCTTTATATCATACTTATGCTAGACGTTACTACGTTGTACAACAGTAAAATTACAGTAAACCCCATATGATTTCAAATTCGTTTTCTTTACTTCTTTCAGGCTATATACGAATATGTCTCCCTCAATATATATAACCCCTTATAACATCAACATTTTATAAATGGAAGAAAGAGTACTCGTTTACCAAAAGTCTGCATAGTCCTTCCTACCAGTACAGGAACATGTATATAATAGGCTTTTTGGTAGATTTGATTACATCTGTACCTACATGTACTTAAGCAATAGATATGTTTGACATTTCATCTGCATGGTGTACTTAGCATTATTGTAATTATGTATACGATTTATTGTGGACAGCTGGATTTGAAACTTCACGTTTTACACTAACCTGGGGCCTGCTATACTTGGCCGGTCACCCCGAGGTACAGAAGCGGGCCCAGTTGGAGATGGACGAGGTTGTAGGTATGTTAGAAATTACAATCGGATTGGCATAATATGAGGCTCAGAGACGGTTGGTTGGCTCGTTTATAGGGTTAGGTGGGTCCAGTCGGAGCAAGACACGCTTGTAAGTGTGAAAATAACATATGCATGGTCTCTAAATGGAAGATTCTATGATAACGTGTTTAAGTATACAACAGGTGTATTCTGTCTCCGAACCTGCACAGTAGTAGATATATACTGAAACAATTACGTAAGCAAACCCAATTAAAGTTTGACAACGTCGTGTGCATGCGTAAAAACAGTTAGGCCACTGCCTATCCACACAGAAAACATGAAAATGAAACTCAAAGGAATGATGCTGTTTAGTTAAAATAATTGGACCTCTTCACCGTCGATCGGACAAATACTGAGGCATTTATCAATCCCATGTAAAGACACGTGTATAGATTGAAAGTAGATTAGAATTAAGCAGTGGATGCTTCCTCGTGATTGATCAAGTATGATTACAGGAAAATAAGGCCCTGTAGTTTGGATGTTGTCAATACAGGTGACGCATACTTCAGATTACCCAAGTTTGTATACCCAATAAATAGAACAATTGAGAAACGAAGAATGGTCTCCTTTCCTCTTAGCATTGCAAATAAGTTATTTTGCAAAACACAACATTACGTGGTAAGCGCCGCACAATTACAACCAAGTTAGAATTATAAATACCGCGCCAAACGATGAGATTAATGACGTCTGACGTCATCACTTTTTGTATTGTAGGTTATCCGGTGTTACAATGAAAGGTTATAGTTTAAACCACATGTTTTTCATATCAATAAACATGTACAATTACATAGACATTTCATTCAGATGATTGGGAAACAAGTACTATTGTACTTGTGCATAGTCCTTCTATATCTGCATTTAATGTTGATATTTGATTTCTATTTGTCTGATACTAAAGGGCGAGCCCGACTTCCCACACTAAAGGACCGTTCCTCCCTTCCGTACACTGAAGCTGTCCTCCATGAGGTGATGCGAGTAGCCACGGTCTCACCGTTGGGAATCCCGCATGCGGCCCGTGTCGACTCCATGATTTGTACGTATCCGAATGCATCACAGTATACTTGGATGCATTCCATGGCAATACTTTTCGTTATATATAATAGTTTTACTGCATTACACTATAATCATCTCTCTGTTTTATAATTCAGGTGGCTATGATATTCCGAAGGGTACAACGGTGGCCATCAACCACTGGGCACTTCACAATGATCCAAGATACTGGGACCAACCTCAGAAATTCAACCCCGAACGATTTTTGACTTCTGAGGGAAAGCTTGCTCCAATACCTGACAGTTGGGTTCCATTTTCCGTCGGTAGGAGAGTGTGTATAGGAGAATCTGCATCAAAACCAGAACTTATACTAATTCTGTCGGTTATCCTTCACCAGTTCAACATTAAATTACCGCCAGGAGTCGCGGCTGACTATTCACCAGAAGCGTCTGGACTAGCGGGATACATTGCGAATAGATATAAGATCCAGGCTGAGAAAAGAGAATAGGTCCAATCTTACAGTCTATGGATTGGTGTTGAAAACTAAATAGTTATGCTTTTCGGTTATCCAGCTTTCTTCTAGTCTACAGGAGAAAGTGTTTCATAACTGATTGTCCCTTTTAGCTAATGTAATTATGGATTGTTCATGGAAAAAAGAACATCATTTTGTATAAAAATCAGTGTGTATAACAAATGTAGCTCTGAGTAGTAAGCTTAAACAATATTTACATTTTTCAAAACCCTGAATTCAAATAAATGGATTTTGTTTTAAAAAATGGACAACGTTGCAACGCCTCAATTAAGTGTAAACATTGACCATGCAGCAGTGGAAGAGATTGTAACATTAAGGAAGTATTGTAAATATGGTTATCGCACAACAATGGCGGCTATATCCTCAATGTATGGCTACTTATAGTCAAAAAGAAAATATCAATAATCAGATGATAGTTTATATCACTATGTCAACAAAACGGAAGTCAACGTCGTTTGATACGAATCATTTTAAATGAAATGTTGTTACGAAGCAAATGTACACCAGGGCCCAGTTGTTCAAAAATCGGTTAGCTTATATAATCACTGTTCAACAACATTTTTTCAACCTTCTATTTCTTCGTCAATATATAAGGTAAAACCTCACAATTTTGAATGTAAATTCACTCTACTAAATATGTGATATCTGGAAAGTTGTAACTTATTCAATTGTAGCTTTTTAAGATACACAGAAATCAAAATTTTTGCTGACCACTGATTTAGCTAATCAACTTTTGGACAACTCGGCCCAGAGTGTAATATTACATCTCATAGTCATAAGAAAAATTCTAAAACAGGAATCATGGAAACATCAAATAAATGAAAGACATCACAAAATACCACAATCTACAGTTATTTCATGCCTTACCAGTCAACAGTCAAAACCATTTTCCCTCGGAGTTGGGACCCACCAGATGAACTCTTTCCCGAAGCCTGTGGCTGTTTTGTTACTTGACCAATGAAAAACAAAAAGTTCCATGTCGAATGTGATGTATTGATCTACCGACAGACGACTGTCAACAATCCAGAACCAAAAACGCTTGATCATCCCGAGGGAAACAGTTCATCTGGTGAGTCCCAGAATTGCCTGGGAAACAGTATACAATTGTTTCATGGCTATTTGGGAAACAGTCAAAACTATCATCCCGAAGTAGGGGGAAGCCCTGGGGAACTGTTTGCCCGAGGCCGCTACGCCAAGGGCAAACAGTTCCACAGGGCTTCCCCCTACCGAGGGATGATAGTTTTGACTGTTTCCCAAATAATCATGAAACAATTGTTTTATTACCAAATAAAAATTAGTATCAATGCTGCATGCAATGTTGCCGTTGCTTCAACACTGAGTTGCGGTCACCGCAACGCTTGAACGGGGCTCTCGAGGGGGGATTACTGCGCATCGAATTCGCGCCGGGTAACAGTTCGCTCTGACCGGCAAAACAGTTTTGACTGTTTCACCCCTACAGCAGAAATTGGACAAATACAGCAGAAATTGGACAAAAGGCTAGAAACAGTCTAAAATGACTAATTATAATTTATATAGACTATTGGGTAATAATCGAAATTGATTAATATGTATTTATATAGCGAGTCAGGTAACAATACTGACCGTCAACCATGTGCACATGCACGTGGAGAGTTCCTGTACTACTGTGACAACTTTCAAATGCTGTAAATATGTTCCCGTCACCAATTGTGTGAACATCACGTTCTGAAATATATTTCATGTATATATGTCACTGATGGTGAATATGATGAACAGGAATTTAATCATATCAATTAAATAACATAGTAGCAGTTTAAGAACAATTTATGGCAAGCGTAGACTAATATTATTGTAGATTGATAAGCTTCATCACTAGAAGAACCTGTTAAAGCAATCAATTCGTCACCAAGACGGGGCTATTAGGGAATTGAAGTGCAAGTTTACTAATTCCTTTTACGTTGCGTCCGACTGTGTCCAGTTCTGAATCTGTCTTGGGTGTTTTTCTTATATTATAATTAGCTACTCTTATATGTGAACTTCCAAGAAAAATTCAAACACATCATTTGTCAAAATTAACGTTTTATTAGAAAGATAAAGGAGATTGTCAATATCTCTACACATTAGGTATACGTACATCTCTACGTCGTGATCTTTAACAATACGTATACTAAATATAAATATCCCTGCTAGCAGAGAACGTCAACATAACAAAATAAAGAACATAGAAATGGAATGTGTTAATATCATAAGATCGCTGTCGTATTATCTTAGTATAGATAAGACATTGTACATTCATCTAAGAATCAACAGGCAACTCACTACAAAAGAATGGGGTATAATCTGATGATACATTCAGGTTACATCACAATTGTTTATTTTGACGTTCATATATTAAGTAACAGTGCATGTTTACGAAAGAGGCAATTATGATGTACGAAAAAATAATTGTAATTGCATTGTCTAGTTCCTACCGTTTTAAAACCTGTAAAGATTCTATAAAACGAAAAAGTAAAGTTAAAATCATGTCATACGTATAGGTTATACCTAAAAAATACATGGTAAATAAATCCATAAATATTTTATATAAACAAGAGGCCCAAGGGCCTTAGCGGTCACCTGAGTTATATCATAGGTACTGGTAGCTTTATTTTATTGTTTAGATGTGATAATTATCACCAAGTAAAAATAATTTCCTACAGAAAGTTGTCAAAATATACCCAACAGTGTTATTTCCCTATATAAACTTTAGTAAACTTTACCCCCTCCCCAAGGGAGAATGGATAGCCCGGGGGTCCTGAAATTTACAATTTAAGTAAAGCCCCTTATGATCTTTCTTTCCACGTAAAGAAAATCACTGTTGTACCTCTGAGTCTGGAGAAGAAGATTTTTGAAATATTGGTTAATTTTCCCTTTTGTGCCCCGCCCTGGCCCCAGGGGCTGGGGTAGGATTCTCAATTTTACAATTTGAAACCATCTTCCTCCAAGGATAATTCTCACCAAGTAAAAATAATTTCCTACAGAAAGTTGTCA